ACTCCGGGTCCCCCCCAACCTCCCCACTCTTTCCGTCGCGTTGGTCTAAGTCCTCGAGGCGGAGAGAAAGGAACCAGAGTGATTGACGGCTACCTGTGGCGCTGCCATGTGGCCTCGGTCACGTGGGTTCGTGACATAATGGGTAAAAGAATCTTGAGGTCATGGGGCTTCCCCTGACCTAGATTCTATCTCTCCGTCACCGGCAGAATCGCTGATTAATGCCTACAGTTCAAAATAGTCATTTTGACTGACCGGAGACTATGGTGGGTATGAACTATGTGAATAGGCGGGTTCGGAGAACCCTCGCCTAAGTCAAAATTACAAAATGTTGTAGCAGTGAACATTTCACATCTAAAGTCACAAATGCCATTAAATCATCAAATGGTAATAAATGGAGCAGTGGTTTACAGTAATCTGGGTTTATTTGTGCTTTTCAGAAAGAAAGTTCTGGGCGTGTTCTGGGGAGTAAGTTAACAACAACACTGAAAAGAATAGAAGACAATTTAATACAACAATCAGTTGTACCTGGCCCATCACAGCTTGGTGCCCCCAATACAGATGAAAAGAATACAAAGGTGAGAATTTACTTTTATTTTAATTTATAAATGGTGGAGTTCATCTCTTATGGCTTTGGTGACTGTCTAAACATTTTAATTTTAGCAAGTCTCCTTTCTTGTTTCTTATTGTACCCTTGTTTTAGATTTGTGAGACAGCATGGCAAGGTTGATAATAACTTTCAGACCTCTGTGCTTCGTTCTTCTGCACATGCAAAGTCGATGCGAAGATATTTACAAGAATGTGTGTGATTGGCTACTCGACCCTAACCCCTAACAGCTGAACTAATCAGTGAGCTTGTTTGTTGACAGGTTTCTTTGACAGATCAATTCCTGCTCCTTTTATTCAGATCAATTCCTGCTCCTTTTATTCAGATCAATTCCTGCTCCTTTTATTCAGATCAGTCCTGTGATAGTACAATCTGATGGGGGTGTCATAATCTGTAAATGATTAACTTTTATCGCATTGGTCTGAGAAATTAATAAGATATGACTGAGATTCTGAGCAAAGGAGTTTGTGACATTTTAGTGAGAGTATATTATTTCAAATTGATTTTTTTTTCAGGTCAAGTTTCCATATCCTCATTTGTCTCCTGTTGTTGAGATGACTGATCTGAATAAATTGTTTGGCTTGTCGGAAAGAATGGTAGCGACAGAGTCTTTGTAAGTAAATTCTTTGCTACATTTCTAGTGTCATTTACTCATTGCATATATGTATATTACATGTAACTGATATGTAAATCACACTCCAGTTATGAAAATTCAACTAATGATATGTAAATTACATGCAACAGGTAATTAAATTCAATGTGAATGATATTTTTTTTTCTCCTAGATTATTTTTATCTGAGCAGTTTCAGTTTTTACAGTCACATTTAGAATCAATGATACCACCATCAAAGAAACCATTTTTACAGCAATTTTATTCACAGGTAGGAAATATTTACAATGTATATCAAATTTGTTTTCATTGTCTGCTTCTTTAGGAGGGCCATGTGAAGAAATGTCTGTTTACTAAATTATTATCAACATTTTTTTGTAGTTATAGTAACCAAAATAATTTGATACCATCATTTTTAAATTTGAAAAATTGAAATCTTGGTCATGTTTGTGTAGGTTTACCCTTTGAATGTCATAAATTTCTCGTCAAAATGTTGCTGCTACATTTTGCTTGTTTTTGTATATTTTTGTATAATTTTAAACCAAATAGACATAATTTTCCTTTGTTTGCAGGTCACATGATCACATTTTTGGACAAATTTGGTGTTTTTAATTTGAAAGGTGCCAACAATTTGACATTGGCTTAAAGGTCAAGGGGTAACAATTTCACAGGTCAAACTTGTATTTCACATTCTGAAAGTTGACTCTATTATATCTGTTTGATATCTTTTACCTCAGACTGTCATCGTAGCACACGAGTTACGAATTCCTGTGTATAGAAGCGTGGCCACCAAAGCGATTGACTTTGAACAGATGATTCAGATGATGACTAATGTGAGATGGGAC